TGTCGGAATAGCGTCGGCTGCTTCGTTAGCAATATCCTCTGTAGGAATATCTCTAGTAGATTCGCCAGGATTCTGATTCTTATGCATTTCCCTTTTGGTTTACAGCAGAAGCGTAATGAGTTCCTGAATGATGTGTTCTGTTCGCAGTATATAATTCAATTAATTCCCCATGCCACAATTCTATTGTTTTTTATATGATTTGTTCCGAACAAGTGTTTTTCCAATAAAACTCACACTATGACACATCATTCAGGGCCACATTCGGTAGAGTCTGAGACTCGCACCTTGCTTCCAGCAAAGTTGGAACAAAACGAAAAGAGAATATGTTACCAAAGTAATCATGATCAGAAAATGCATACTCTGTTCCAAATTTCCTTACATAACACAGTACAAAAGGTACAAAGTAGCTCAATATAAAACTATACTCTACAATACGCCGACATATGCATATAGTAATATGTAAAACATCTGTATATCATTTATTAAATGTTGTAACTTATTTATAAGTATATGTATATCAATATATTTTTGTCAATGTGTGTACCGAACGTCTTGTTGGAATTTAATAAAAATAAAATTTGAATATCATATTTGAAAACGAATATTTTAAAAATGAGGAAAAAACATTTTAGGATTTAATTTCAACATGCGCATACTCAATTATCAAACAATCGGTTTTTAAAAACGATTTGAAAATGTTCGTATCAAAAACAAAAACATGGATTTTGGAAATTGAATTGAAAATTTTCGTTCTCAAAATTTAAATAAATATTGTAGGTGCAAAACCTGGGTCAAAACGTTTTTAAAAGTAAAGCGTTCCATACAAATTTGAAAACGAAAATTTCTCTGTGTATGCATGTCTATTAAATTTATAACAACCCAGCAAAAAACACGATTACCGCAGAAACGAAAGTGGAAACGAGCTAGGCGATAGGAATCGCTTACCCTTTCGCTTCAAGGCCTTATTTTAACATGGGCATGTCATTGGCGGTAAGTCCTTACCCGCAGCATTACCTTCAAACGAAGGGAGAACGCATGGATAAACAGAATCCAGAGAAGCGAACAAAGAATGTCTTACAGAGAAATTAATGTAGAATGCCTAGATAAGTACATACTTATGTATATTAAATTGAAATCAGAAAATGTCTTGTATATGTATGTATTTAGGTATTTAGATTTTACTTAAAAATCTGTATGTACATACATGCATATTTAATTAAGCTTAAAATTGTACTTCCTCACTCTTGTACTTCACTTCATTGACTGACTTCAACTTCGCTGCAAATTGAACAAAGCAAAACATGATTTTTATGCGAGAAAAATTTCCACAGAAAGTAACGGTAGAAAAAGACTTTTTGGATATTCATTCTATTTTTCAGCTGACTACGATGCAGCATTCTACTTTGCATTCCCCGAAATGAAGCAAAGAAGCGAAATAAAAAAAAAATATTATAGGACATTCTACTTTGCATCCCCTAAAATGAAGCAAAGAAGCGAAACAAATAAAATATTGTAGGACATTCTACTTTGCATTCCCCGAAATGAAGCAAAGAAGCGAATTAAAAAAAAAAAATATTATAGAACATTCTACTTTGCATTCCCCGAAATGAAACAAAGAAGCGAAATAAATAAAATATTGTAGGACATTCTACTTTGCATTCCCCGAAGTGAATCAAAGAAGCGAATTAAAAAAAAAATATTATAGGACATTCTACTTTGCATTACCGGCAATGCCTAAAAGAAGCGAAAAAATTCGAAGGCACTATAACGCTATGCCTTCTAGAACACGTTACCACTAAAAGCGATTACTGATTTTTTGCTGGGAAGGAGCTTCAATAAGTTATATTACACAGATAAATTTATAAATTTCAACATTTCACTTAATATTTCTTCCAAAATTACTTGTACAAATGCGAGCACTCGCTCGTGAGTGTCACCTCAATATTGTTATAACTTTAGAACTACTTGTTCTCTAAACATGAAACATTCCCAAAAATTTCCGTATATATTTGTCTATAATGCTGCATTAAAATAAAACAAAAAAACCACCTCCTTAATTTTTATAAAAAACTTAAAATATCCGCCATTTTGTTTCTAATAAGTATTAAGAAGTGTAGTTAGACTCATCTTCTTTAGAATAGTATCTAGTTTATTGTGTAAAAATTTCAAATCAATAGATACATAAACGTCTGAGATATAGCGAGGTTAAGTGAAAATTTCGCAAAAATTGGCCGCTGTGAAAAATCAGGTTTTGTGGCTTTTTCGACACGAAGGCGTGAAAACAAAAAATCGCCCTGGGACCATATGCGCAGAGAGAAAGAGGCAATTTTTATTTCACGCATTGCGCGACCTTCTATGTACAGATCTTGGTTTGCAATCATGTAGAAACTTTCGGGGCGCGAACGTCAGCGGATATGTAATGGAAAATTTCAACCGTAACGAAACATTTTTGCTTTATCCGAGTATATTTTAACATTTTTACTTCGCGTAAACACAATGGTCTTCAGGCAGATTTGTGAATCAATTTCGCCCTGAGTACCCCGCTTTAACACTGCTCAAAACATATACAAACCTTCACTGTGTGAATTGCAAAAATTTACTCCAGATCAACTTCATTTAGAATCATCAACACGTTTGTTTATTTGAAAACCTATCGCAAAGCTCTTTATTACGCGTATTTTTTTTCTACTTCTACTTTCAGACACAGACGTCAACCAATGAAAAAACCACCGTAATTTTACAGTACATTTTTCAGTTGCTTTTCATCACAAATTTCGGCATAAATTTCGTGCTTTATTGTGTTAGTGGTCAAAATTTCCGGTAAGTTAACTCAACTACGTGGAAATATACATAAAATTTTTACGATGGTATAAAAAAAAATTTAGTATAAGTGGGCCACCATATGGAGTCTTACATTTGAATTATGTAAATGAAATATAGGGAATATTACTAACCACTAAAGCTTTCACATCCCAATACCCTGTGGGGAGTGACATTAGCTTATACAGTGAAACCCGCTTAAGTATCACCACTTATTTTTTTTTTCTGAAAAAGTATTCACTTATGGTAGGGAGTAAAGCATTTATAGCACAGTGCATTGTTGCATCCGGAACAAATATAATTTGTTTTCATTTCTTTTTGTTGAGAAGTGCACCGTACGCAACGACGTCGGGATGCGCCTTTTATTGGTAAATATTCAAGAGTTCTGTACGTGAGCGGATAGATGGTCTTCCCCCGGTCCGACGAGTCTTAACCTTTTTTTATTTGGTTGCTTCAGTTATGTACAATCCAAGCATTAACAGTTACAAGCATCAAAACATTAAAAATTTTTATTTTTACAAAATTTCTGAGATTTTCGGTTGATATAGTGCGCCACTGATTTCTGATTGTCTAAGTCTACGCCGCCCATTATACGATTATAGTCCATAATAGCTAAGGAGTAGGCAACTTTTTTCTTTCTACCGTTTTTCTGTTTTCTGTCCACATCTGCTATTATCGGTTTGTGACGATTAGACACAACAAGTAAATACTTCCTTGGAATCCATCCAGCGTGTACCAGTGTATACATTAAAATCGTACGTATATAAACAGTGAACTCTGTAGGACCTCAAGGATAAGTTACTAAAACTTGGGGGTCCCTTTTTAGAGGCATTCGAAACTTGGGATCGAAGTTTACGTCGTCTTTGAGGTTAGTCCAGGTGGCAACGACCGGTGCTTCATTCGCGTCATATTCGCATGACTATCTGACCTCATCCACATTAGCAGTTATGTTATCGGCAGCTTCTTCTTCGTCGTCAGATTCAGAATAGGAAATATTGTTCTCATCTTCTGCTGTAATGGCTTTATTTAGTCTTATGTTTTCAGCGTCGAGCGATGGCTCGTAGCTGCTCTCAGATGGGCTAAAATCTTTATAACCAGAGCTTTCATACAGTATATCTGCCACCTCTTCCGCCGAGTAACTTTTCTTCGGCATCTTGGAAAACACATATTGGTACAAAAAAGTCCCACGTAAAACACAAACTGGGACAATATATCCCAAAATTATAAAAATTATATGAAACTCACCTTTACTGCTATTTTAGGACCATATTTAATATAATGCAAGCAGAATTTGAGAATATCTACGTACTATCTAGTTGCAAACAAAGTGGCTATTGCAAGACATACTCCTTTGACACCTTGTGTCCTGCCAGATCGCCGAATTGAGCTCTCTGATAAACAAAAAATTTTCAGGTAAAAGTGTTACCATTTTTGAAATATTTACATTTTTTTGAATTAAAAAAAATCGTGCCTTTTCATGTATTTTCTTTAACTGCATCTACAAACCAGGCTATACTTAGTAATTTTTTTATGTAAAATACTTCCAGATAGTTGCTTCTCCATGCTCAAATGCAATGTAGTTAAAATATATTAAGGAACCATCATAAAATTAGGACTATTTTGGGATTTTTAACTTTTTGATATTTTCTTCCCCTACTTTGACTATCTCTGGTGAAAAAAAATTTACTGAGCTATAAACTTACATTGCATAAAAAAATTGCTAATTTAATAAAGATTTCAGAAAGGTGCCACTCTTACTGTTTCGAATAGAAAAAAAAGTTATAGCCGCTTTTGTGGGCAAAGGACTGAGACACGCTAGAATGTATTTAATAGATTTAAATTTAAGTTGCTCTTGTTACCGACCAATGACATGCTAAATACTACAAAGATACATTATTACCTACTCCTGACATTATTTTATGTTACTTACCGGAATTCGGACTAGAGTCTATAACAAGTGCTATATCTATAATATTTTTTTGTGAAGGATGGGTTCACGTGAAAAAAAATACATGAGTTGTTTGAAGAAAAATTTATTCATTTATTGATAAAATATGCTCAAATTGGCGACCTTCTACTCTAATACAAGCTCACCCTCTAAGATATATTTACACATTCTGAAATTCATTGGCAGCGCTACACACCTTCGGCAAAAAAAAAACAACGGTAATTTTTAGTCAGTTGAAACTTGCACATTATTACACTAAAATTTAATGGGCAATAAAAATGAGAAAAAGTGTGAAATTTGTATGCATTTTTTTAAGTGTTCTTCGAAATCTTAAGCTGAGGTTTTTATGGTATTTGTTAGGAAATTAACTGTATTTTAATTGAAAAATCTTAACAATTAATAAATAAACAGAAGTGGCAAACAATATTATTCTGAATTTGGTCCTAAACGATATGTGCAAAACTGTTTGCATGTATGTATAAATATGAATAATCAATGACTTTTTAAAAAATTTTATTCTTGTAAAAATTACATACCATTGCTCTATCTATTTTTTTTAATCAAGTTTTTCTTTAGTTGTTTATCTGTTTAAATAATGTTACGATCTTGGTTTTAGGCTACGTATTCTGCATTAAATGTTAATGCTTTAGTTAAGAATTTACAAATTTATGCAAGTTAACAAGAAGGTTGTAACTACTTCAATAATTATGTTCGCTTAAGTACCCGCATCGAGGTGCATGGTTGCCGCACCAAAATCAGTGTTGCCCTGTGTATATATTGCAATATAATGATGTTTCCATATGTTTTATGGTTTTTGGTATTTTATCTTATATACAAATAGGCAATCATGTTTTCTTTACACCCCTTTTACGGCTAAACTATACCTCAAAGGTATAAACAATTATGTATCATTAGAAAGGTATTTTGATGCTGGTGTGTGAAATTCAAATTTCAAATTGGTTTAACATAAAGCGAACAAATCAATTCAAAAGTGACACCAATACTAATGCCGTACATGTACATGGTTGGGGCAGAAATGACTACTAATTATGGTTTGATATTGATACTGAATTAAAGAAATCTGCTAAGCAGCAGTTTAGGAATCAGATTTATGAAGATTAGGATTCATGCAAGGAAGAAGGTAAAGTTAAATATGTAGAAGAAGAAAGGGATAAAGGTAAAGATTAGAATAAAAGTAAAGAAACCTAAATATAAACGAAGGTGAATATGAAGATGAAGATGAACATGAATATGAACATGAATATGAACATGAACATGAACTTGAACATGAACATGAACATGAACATGAAGTTGAAGATAAACATAAACATAAACATTAAACGCGATAGAGACAAAGATAGAGAGGAAGAAAGTGATAAGGATAAAAAGGAAATACAACTGAAGAATGTGCGATGTTATATTGTGGTGTGTTATACTACATATGTTATGTTATTTAATCTTATGTTATGGTATGTTATGCTACGTAGTAAGCTAAACTCCCCTCCACTTAACCCATTCCAACTAATGTTATTTCAGCTCAACTCAACTCACATAAACTATCCTTAATTTTAGCGGTTGAATTTCAACCGCTGGGCGATTATTAGTAAAAACTTAAACGCCAATATCTTAGATAGCAGTTTTAACAGAAGAGGCATCATTGCATCTAACAACTCCTCCATTATTGGAGATAAAACAAACACAAGTTGATTTTCCTGAGTATTTTTTTTTAAATATTTTAAACTGACTTTCAATAAAAAGCAAACACTTTTTTTTGCTAGTTTTTACATGCGTAAGTAATTTTGTTCTGGAGTTCCACATACATATACGAGTACTAGGTGGCTGTGTGAAAATTACGTTAGCATTCCTTGGTGGTGGTCAAACCCCAGGAAGGTTTTGCTCCCTCGCATCGCAATGTTTTCTACACAGGGTTGAAGTTCCCCCTTTTTGGTAAAAATTAGTATTATTTTTAATTGCATTCGGTTCTGCTAACAAAAATTTGGCGCTGAATATCTTAGTGGAAATTTTAACCATCTATAAGCCATTTTTTTAACAGTGGGTCAAAAGGGCCCAATATGAATTTGCAAAAAATCGTAAGAACTCCGTGAATTTAACATAACGATTGATAAGATTATTGCAAAAATTTATTGATAGCGACATAAATTACCCCAATAACTTAACTTTTTAAATCTTTGTATTTCTTTAAATTTAAATAGTACATACGGATCTGTAGAGAACATATAGAGCCATGTGTGTATGTATGTATATACCTCAGACCTTCTTCTGTTCGCCCACCCATCAGCGCCAGACACTCAATGTTTCAATTCAAGTAGGAAGTAAAGTAATTTAAATTTAAAACTAATTCAATGAATGAATTAAATATATGTATTTATAATCTGAATTGACATGGCGAATGCCTAACTCTGACGAGATGACATGATAAGATTAGTAGCCTCATGGCTCTTTGGAATCTACGCTATGGGCAGTAGCGCCGGCGTTTCCAGATTCTTTTTGAAGTTGACCACGCCGCCGCCGCAAAACCTGTCGGCGTAAACCTCTAGTACATACACACAAATAAATTCAAGGCCATATCTTAGTTTAAATTGCTTAACTTCGACAATTTTTATGCAATTGCATTGGATGAGGTATCAATTTATTCGAAAATCAATGTTATTTTAGATAAATACCACATATTTGGCAACTTTCATAGAAATGTTTGAAATTAGCGATGATCGAATTTCAAAAAGTTAAGAAAAATTGAGGCTCATTAAAATTTAACCGATGAAAACTCCCAACAAGCTAAGTCTAATTTTTGTAATTTGAAAAATCGGATGGAAAATAATCAACCTATTAGTAGATAAGTGCATCAAGTACCAAAATAACGTTTTTTTCTGGTATAAAAAATGGAGGGTTCAGGAACTATGTTTTCATGTTGTACTCGACCATACCTACAACCTACACTAGGTTTAGTTTCGAGTGTATTTCATGACTTTTTTTCTAGCATCGTGTTATTGTTGTTTTTCTACAACATTTTTCATTCAACAAAAGGCCTCAA